AAGTTAACTCGATTTACTGCTGCTCCAACCAGAAGACATTAGAATGGCGTGAAACATATCCTCAGATACCTTCAAGGTACAAAGGATCTTGGGCTTCTATTTGAAAGAAACCAAGACACCACATAACGCTAGATCCCAGACCGGATATCTATTCCTTTATGTAGGTATTGCTATTTCATGGAAATCCGTTAAATAGACGCTATTAGCTACCTCCTCTAATCACTCAGAAATCATTGCTTTATATGAGACCTCATTTGAGTGTGTATGCTTGGGGTCATTAATACATAATACAAAGATCGTGTGGAATAATAAGTATTGGCCATAACCCCGGCCACTATCTTGTATGAGGATAACGTAGCATGTGTTGCACATATGAGTAGTTGATATGTTTAAGGGGACCTTACAAAGCATATTGCACTCAAATTCTTTTATCCACACGAACTCCAGAAGAGAGGTGAAATACAGTTTCAGAAGGTTCGATCTATTGACAATCTAGCATATTTGTTCACTAAGTCTCTACCTACATCCATATTTGAAAAGTACGTTCATAAAAATAGGGATGCGTAGGTTAGGGAGATTATTGTCTTCAGGGGGAGCAACAATATCTAAGTATGATTGATTTATTGGTCCTAATGATCAAATATTTCAAACTCTCAAGATCTAAGATTGTACTATTTTTCCTTTAATTGAGTTTTTTCGCACAAGATTTTATCAGTGTAAGGTTTTTAATGAGGCAATCGAAATAACACATGCATTATCCCTATATCATGTACTCTTTTCTCGATTAGGTTTTTCCTACAGGGTTTTTCTAGCGAGTTTTTAATGAGGCATGATTATGGTAAAATAATGTATCCAAGGGGGAGTGTTATAAATAAATACTCCCTCTGTCTGATTTTATCTGTCATACTTACTATTCATTGGTCAAACCAACTCTTTCTTCTTTATTTATTTTCGTTAGTATTTTTTTTTTACTTATTTTTAAATTTGATTTGTTGTGTTGAATAGTACATTTAGTGTAGTTTCTAAATATATAAATTTTATATACTAATATTAAACTTAATATTATGAAAAATTGGATTAAAATTACTTCAGTCAAGCCTCGATTAGTACAAAACTGCACATACGCGACCATTGTAAAAGACATTACGAGCTCATTAACCCAACCAGACACATAAAATAGGACGAAGGGAGTAATAAATATAGACATTATTGATATTGTAACGGACGTAGCGGTCCGTCAATTAAGCATGTCATTGTTGTATCTGTTATATTTGTATTATATATAAAGTGACATGTATTGTATTAAAATGTTGGTTGTATTATATATAAAGTGACATGTATTGTATTAAAATGTTGGCTAATGAAAATCCTGGTTACCTACATACACTATTGTCCATCATCTATTTTACAAAATTCATTGGTTATGAACTAACAGTTAATGGGCATAACCAACTACAACATACTCTCCAATTTATTACTCTAATTTCTAATCTATAACTACATGTTTAAACTAAAATTGATAGGCTTCCAGCAAAGGAAACCCTTTCAAAAATTCTCTAAGGCTTAAGTGAAACTCAAGCCAAAGAGGGGGTTTGGAAATAGTTTTCAACCAGAAATAGACGCGCCTCGGTGATAGGATTCTTTGATCTTCCCACACAGGGACGGAGGGACAGGGGGGCAGGGGGGCGGCTGCCCCCCCTCACCCCACCCCCACCCCAACCCCATATATAGTATTTGTATGTATATATGTATATATAGTACATTTTTTAATATTAGTATAAAAAAGCTATAAAATGTTAATAAGAAGTGAGTTAGAGTAGGTGGTAGAGTACATCTTTGGTAATAATGAGGTTAAGGGTTCTAATCTTAGCATCAACATATTTTTACAATTCTTTTTTAATAGCTTTTTTAATATTACACACACACTCTCTGTAATTTATAATGTGTTTTCTATTCAAATTATTTTATTAATTATGTTTCATATTTTGATATGAATATTTTTATAAAGTTTCGATATGTTTTATTTTTTGTTCATATCCAACAATATTTACAATTATATTTCTTAGGTAGTTTATTTATTTATTTTTAAATTATGTCTTTTGTTTTAATGTTTCGCCTTTTCTGGAAAAAATTTCTGAATCCGTCTGTACTGTTTCGCCCCCCCTCAACCAAATTTATGGCTCCGTCCCTGTTCCCACACCTTTTTTTTTTCTTTCTTTCTGATCTTTCTCTCTACCTTAATCTCCCTTGTGATAGGATTCTTTGATCTTTGTTCTATTATGCAGTAGTGTTTCATGTTGTTATTACCCTGTTGTGATGTTTTCATCATGCATGTTGTTATTGCTCTGGGAAACTGAATGAATGTGTTGATATGAGTATGTGTTGTTTTGTTTTCCTTCACTCTTGAGTCCTCCTGCCCAGAAAGGTGGTGAATGGTGATCATATGTCACTGCCATCATTTAATAGCAGCTTTTGTTCATGGTTTTCTCCTTAAATTTTCATTTGGTTTGACTTTCATTCTTCATCTTCTTTGTCTCACTTCCATTGTTTTTAATTTATTATTATTTGAATGGAGAAGGGCTGAAGGGCCGACTGGAAGAAAGAAGCAATGAAGAGATTGATTTATCTGGCTTTTGTCTCTCCTGTCTCCACAGATTGGTGAATATGTGTTATATAGCATTTCCAAGTGTAATTATTTCAGGGGATTAGAGATTTGGAATGAAAAGGGCTGAGATAGATTTATGATTTTATAGCTTCTTTGACAATTTTCCACCCAATTTTATAAGGATGGACCATTTTGGATAATTTTACATAGTCAGAGGACTAATTTGAGTAAGGAAACATGTGAAATTACATCATTGTCCTCAATACACACGGAGACTTAAAGGTGTTTGAAACGGAGGACTAAATTGAGAAAAGTTTACAAAGTTAAAGAACTTAATTGAGTAAGAATGGTAGTCGAGGACCAAATTAGTAATTTCGCAATAGTTAAGGGACCATTTTGATAATTAACTCTTTTATTAATAAGAAAATGGATTAAAGTTCAAGGTCTCTGGGCTTATATTACATGAAAAAGAGATGAACTCTGATCTAAATCTGAAATGCCAAAAGTTCCTTACAAAAGTGTAATCTTATATATATAGGCTACAAATCAAAATCCTAAAGGAAGTGCTATAAAAGAGAGTTAACACCCAATACCACATTTTGCCAAAAGTACCTCACAAAGTGTAAGGGATGCCCTTATATATAGGCTATAAATCAAAACTCTAAGGAATAAGGGTCAAATAGGCCACTCAACTGCACACCAAAGTGTAATTAAGCCATTGAACTCAAAAAGAATACAATTAAGCCATTGAACAATACAAAAACATGCAATTTAGCCCAAAAAATGACTTGTTTACCTAGAGTAGCAAGTTACCAATTTTAAAATTAATTTTTTAAAATAATTTTTAATAAATAAATAATTAAAAATTATTTATTATTTAATAAATAAATAAAACCCTAAACCCTAAACCCAATTTATTAAAAATTATTTTAAAAAATTAATTTTAAAATCGGTAACTTGCTACACCAGGTAAACAAGTCATTTTGGACTAAATTGCATTTTTTTGTATTGTTCAATGGCTCAATTGCATTCTTTTTGAGTTCGGCCTAATTGCACTTTAGTGTGCAGTTGGGTGAAAGTGCAATTAGGTGACTTATTTGACCCTTATTCCAAACTCTAATAATAGAATTAAATAGAGAGAAGGCCGATCTTCTTTGACGACCTGCTACTGAAGAACCTCTGTTTGCCGACACCGACACCAACCACCTGGCAGTTAGCTCTTAAAAACCACTCAAATCTAATTTATAATTTTGCATAAAACACATTTTTTAGTGATTTGAGACAAGAAAATTTTATTTCACTACGTCAGTATTTACTTACCACTGCCAACAGTCATTAAAATGGTATAAAGTTTGAACTAGTATTGGTGGACTTCTAGAAAAAGAAGTCCTTCCAAAAATTCTCTAAGGTTGAGCGAAACTCAAGCCAAAGAGGGGGTTTGGAAATAGTTTTCAACCAGCAATAGACGCGCCTCGGTTATAACCTCACTAGCTGCGTCATTGCCCCAAGCGCAAAGATGCCTTCAACTTTCTCCTGGCTTTGCATTTTATAGAAGCGTTATTTCCTTCCCGTTACGTTCCACTACGCAATCGATGTGGGTAAATAACAATTCCCTAATACCAAAACATTCGCCTGTTTACTTTATATCTCTGACTGATAGTGATGAATGCAATTATTATATATTACTCCATATGTATAAAGTTATAACAACACATCAATACAATGGAGCAATATAATGATCTGGTTTCCATCTGTCAAAGATAGCTCGAATGAGGAGGCCGGATAATTTTGCTTCATCAGAACCTATTTTTGCTCTTTATCATTAGTATAATAGTGACTAAAATTGATCTGTCCACACGGGCTTAGCTCACTGGTTCAGTAGATAGTATTTGGGAGAAAAGACCAATATGGGGATTATGTCCAAAGTGGGCAGATTCCTTGTGTGCACGGTGCACCGGTATTTGACCATGTCTGCTGAGCCATCGAGTCATCGTGATTTACATTATCTCAAATGTTCTAGGACGTGTTATCCCAAATGTTCTGTCGGGACGGGGTGTGAGAAGCCCTTGAGATTGAGGAGTTATCGTGATTTACATCCTTCCCAAATGTCATGTCGGGACAGGGTGTGATGGCCCTTGAGGTTGGGGACTCAACCTTTCAAGAAGAAGTGACTAAAATTGATGGCATTAGTGATTGCTTTTTTTTTTTTTTTTCATCGGAAAGGAGGGGGTATACCCCAAGGGGAAAACTAGTTCCTATCACCATGAGCCCAGGTCGCAAGAAGACGATCCCTATCAATGATCTCTTCCAAGCCAGGGGGCACAATTCCATAACAATTATATCAAATTAAAACAACAACAATAATTACAAATTACACATTATTGCATTCCTCACATTTCATATCCCATATATATTATTTCAGGTTGTGTCGGCTTTGCATTAAGTTGTAGTTAAAGCCATCTTTTTCTTTTGAGCATCAGTAGGCAACTTAACATCAGTTGCTAAACTCAAAGCTTTTAGTGCCCTCACAAAATACCAAGTTATGTCAAGTTGCCACCATTCTAGGCCATGTCGAGCTGAATACTCAAACGCATGGTGATTGTTATGCCAACCATCTCCTAATGAAGGCAATGCCAATAACCTGACAAATTAAAAGTTTATTTCCAAACTTCATAGGATTATATTAAATTAAATAGTATGAATATATAGGAAACAACGATCAACAAAAAATGGTAAGACAATAAAGATTTTAGCATACCAATTATTTCTAGATTGATCACCACTATTCCATGCTTGATTTCTCCATAGGTGACACACAGAATTCACTGAATATGTTACGTATGAAAAAAATGTAATCCTTACACCCTGTAAAAGAATATTAATAACTTTTAAAAATGTAAATTATTGACCAATCAATCAGACAAATTATTGTGTGGACCACGGTTCAAAACGACATTGTTTTTATTTTAAAAAAATTACTTGTTCCGTCCCCGTGTTAGAATAATGAACATTTTATGGTTAAATAATGTATTTTATGAGTTAGAATAATGTATTTTATGTAGTATTAGAATAATGTACTTTATTTGTTAGAATAATGTACGCATGATTGCCACAAGCGGCAGCTTTGCAAGAGTTAGATGATTAGCTGGAAAGGTCTCCCCCTTCCCTCTTTTTTTTTTTTTTTTCTTTTTTTTTTTTTAAGAAAAAAAAAAAAAAAGGAACAGGTAAAGACGGACCCCAAAAAACAATGAATAAGTGAATGAAAAATTAAATAATGTATACCATGCCCCAAACTACATATGGAAATCCACCTATGGCATATAGCAATGTCGCAAGGTTAAACATATGAAAAATTAAATAATGTATACCATGCCCCAAACTTCAAAGGGACGTACAGCTACCATGCCCTTACCATATATAGTAACAAATTATATACTTTAAAAAAAAAAAAAAAAAAAAGGTTAAACAGCGTGTGTATGTAATTCTTTTTATTTTATTTTATTTTAAATAAAATAATAATGAATGAATTTAAGGATAAGGGACTAAGGGTGTACGGTGGCATACTGCAGGTATCCAATTATTATAGGAAAAAGTGTCAAATTGGGCCCCTAAGTCGAGTGGATAATGCAATTGGGTCCTTCAAGTGAAAAAAGCTTCATTCAGGTCCCCTAAACCTATAAAATTGTTCAATTAAGTCCAGGTTGACTTGTTTATCAGGTTAAATGCATACAGTGTTGACACACGTCCTTATTTTATTTTTTTATAAAAATATTATTTATTATAAATTAATTAAAATATAATAATAATTAAAAAAAATTATTTTTTATTAAAAAAATTATTTATTATAAATTAATTAAAATAATAATAATAATAATAATAATAATAATAATAATAATAATTTAAAGAAAAAAAAACAGTCGTGGCCGTCTAAGGAAGACGGCCATGGCCGACGAAAAAGAAGATGGCCATGGCCGTCTTCTAGATCTAGAAAACGGACATGGCCATCTTCTTTCGTCGGCTATGGCTGTCTTCCATAGACGGCCGCGACTTTTTTTTTTTTATATATTATTATTATTATTATTATTATTATTATTATTATTATTATTATTATTATTATTATTATTATTATTATTTTAATTAATTTATAATAATAATTAAAAAAAAATTGGCCATCTTCTTTCGTCGGCCATGGCCGTCTTCCTTGGACGGCCACGACTGTTTTTTTTTTTTAATAATAATTATTATTATTTTAATTAATTTATAATAAATAATATTTTTAATAAAAATAATTTTTTCAATTATTATTATTCTTTTAATTAATTTATAATAAATAATACTTTCAATAAAATAAAATAAAATTAGGACACGTGTCAACACCGTATGCATTTAACCTGATAAACAAGTCAACTTGGACTTAATTGAACTATTTTACAGGTTTAAGGGACCTGAATGGAGCTTTTTTCACTTAGGAGACCCAATTGCACTATCCACTCGACTTAGGGGGCCAATTTGACACTTTTTCCATTATTATATATCAACTTTCAAGGCTATCTTATCCGTAGATGCTCTTCAATTTGGCAGGATGATAGGAATCAAAGGAAAGAAATAATTGATAGTTTAATTAGTTGTTGAAGGTCTAAAACAGAATGAATTATATGTAATTAGAGGATAATTAACTAAATATTAGTATAAGAAAATTATGTATATTAGAAATAGATCATTACCTAGTATGGTTAGAATAATTTTAGCGACTTAATTATAATATAAGTGTCAGTAATTTAGTATAAATAGGTCCTTTGTATATGAATACCAAGAACTACTCAGAGAAAAAAAATTTAATATATATATATATATATATATATATATATATATATATATATATATATATATATATATATATATATATATATATATATATATATATATATATATATATATATTAGCGCTCAAATGCGGCAGTGGCTTTAGGTGCGGCGGTGCGGCTATATCAGCATCGTCCATTTTGCTTAATCTAACGGCAGCGGCTAATTTCTGAAGATTTAAAGATTTAAGCGCGTCCTGATAAGTGGGGGGTGTTATGGTAATTGTAGTGGTCATTTATATCGGCCGCTTGTCAGAATACACCAACAGTGTTAACAAAAGACACCAATAGTGTTAGGAAAAAGCACCACAATGAAATGCACAAATACACCAAAAAACACACAACACACTCAAAAAATACACCATATAACTCACCACCCCAATGGTGTATTTCTGAACACTGTGTGGTGCTTTTATTCATACCTAATGGTGCGTTCTGGTGATGCATATCTAATTTGTGACATGTTTTTTTGGTGTGCATTTTCTAACATGGATGGTGTATATTTGTATAACTATTAGTACACCCGCACTGACCGCATGGGAAGGCGCGGGCGCACCTAAACTTGGCACCAACACGAATCCTCAAATACACCACAGTAAGGTTAATAATGCACCAATAACGAACATAAAACACACAACACTATGATTTGATCTATTCAGGTGCCCAATGACGACTTTAACCTTGCAGTTCGCGTAGTGTGAGAACGTGCGCGAAAATATCGGAAAAGCCTGGATGAATGTGATTCGTTGAATTTATCTAATCTAATGACCTACATTTAACCGCACCGCCGCACCTAAGCGCACTGCCGCACTTGAACCTTCCTCTCTCTCTCTCTCTCTCTCTCTCTCTCTCTATATATATATATATATATATATATATATATATATATATATATATATATATAGAAGAGTGCTCATATGTGGTCATGTCATTAGGTGTGGCGGTGTGGTCGTATCTGTGTCGTTGAATCAGTTTAATCTAACGGTAGTAGCTAATTCTGAGGATTTGAGGATTTTCGCGCGTTTTGGTAAGTGGGGGTGTTATGGTAATTACAGTGGCCATTTATAGCGGCCGGGTTCCAGAATACACCAACAGTGTTGACAACATGCACCAATAGTGTAATAAAACACACCACAGTGAAGCACACCAATAGTGTATTCCCGAACACTGTATGGTGTATTTATTCATATCTAATGGCCCGTTTTTGGTGATGCGTACCTAATTTGTGTATGTTTTTTGCGGTGCATTTCATAACATGGATGATGTATATTTGTATAACAATTGGTGCGGCCGCACTAACCACACGGGAAGGCGTTGCCGCACCTGAACTTGGCACCAATGGAAATCTACAAATACACCAGAGTAAGGCTAGTAATGCACCAATTACACAAATAAAACACACAACAATGTGATTTCCCTTATTCCAGTTCCCTATGACAAGTTTACCCTTGCAGTTCGCTGGGTGAGAGAATGTGCGCAAAAATATTAGAAGAATCTTGACTAATGTGATTCATTGGATCTATCTAATCTAATGGCCTGTAATTGACCATATGACCATACCTAACAACATGGCTGCACATGATCGCCCTTATATATATATATATATATATATATATATATATATATATATATATATATATATATATATATATATATATATATATATATATATATATATATATAGAGAGAGAGAGAGAGAGAGAGAGAGAGAGAGAGTTAAGTTCAGGTGCGGCGGGGGCTTACGGTGTGGCGGTACGGCGTCACCAATAGTTGAGTAATTATACACCATCAACGTTAGAAAATACACCACAAAAAACACACACAAATTAAGAGTGAACCAGTTATTATTACAACTGAAGTATTGTTAAATCTTTATTGACATTCTTTGTTTGTTAAACCATCCTTTTGCCAATGTTAATGCACTTGCAATGTTTTCAGTTGTGATACTACCTAAGCTTGTGCTAGAATTATATTGTTGATTTGAAATTGCCTAGGATTGATTAATATAATGACGATTGGAGTAGTTATCTTAGCGCAACGTATGTTTGTCAAAATCCAATGTTTCATTTCTGCATGAAACATATTTCCATTGATTATTTTGTTTGTTTGTGACCTGGTTGTTGTTGGTTCTTTAGTTGTGCATCACATTTCTTCTACCGAGCAATTAAGTTGCTTATTTACTCACAAAGTCGCCAGAACGCTATTTGTTTCTTTTGTTTCAATCCAAGATTGGAGTCTCCTGTGGATATGATCCTCCATCTTGTGGGGCATATTAAAAATATAGCGTAGTCTATTATTGCTTAGTCTTCAACTAGTTTCTCTACAGGTATTTTTTTGGAATAAATTTTCATATTATTGTAACGTTAGCTATTTTGTCTCTCTTTATATGTATTTATATGTGTTGTAGTTGAGATATTTATACATGCAAGTGTGTTTTAATTATTCTCTACAATGTCAACCAATAAGCAATGGGGAAGCAAAAACAAGGGGATAGGGAAATCTTCTAATCTCTAGAGTAGGCATCCGTTGAGTCAATCCATGCATCCACACTCCAAAGGGCAAACAATTAGCTTGATCACAAATCCATAAACAAACTAGTAACTCTAGTGTAATTTTATTAATAAGAAAATGGATTAAAGTTCAAGGTCTCTGGGCTTATATTACATGGAAAAGAGATGAACTCTTATCTAAATTCGAAATGCCAAAAGCTCCTTACAAAAGTGTAATCTTATATATATATATAGGCTACAAATCAAAATCCTAAAGGAAGTGCTATAAAATAGAGTTAACACCCAATACCACATTTTGCCAAAAGTACCTTACAAAGTGTAAGGGATGCCCTTATATATATCAAAACTCTAATAATGGAATTTCTTAGTTTTGCTAACCAAGATAAGGGTAAAGTAATTAAAAAAAAAAAAAATTACAAGAAATATTCAAAATAGAGAGAAGGCGAATCGACCATTCGATCTTCTTTGACAACCTACAATGGCTACTAAAGAAC